AGGGTTGGACTAGATGACCCACAGAGGTCCCTTCCAACCCCTACTATTCTGTGATTCTGTGATTCTGTGATGCCAGAAATCTGTCGCAGCCTGATCACCAGAGGAGGAATAGGGGTCATATTGCTGCTTTATATCAGGATGTGAATGCCAGAAATCAGTTATTTCCTCTAGTATAGCTGGTAGAAAGTTTGCATGCAATTTTCTGTCTCCTGTTGCCTGACTTCGTTAAGTACCAGTGCTCACAAATATCTGCTACCATTTAATACCCATTATCTATGTATGTGTATGTATATATATAAAAGATTTGAAAATATCCTGTGTTAGAAAGATAAAAGGTGTAAACTTGGCATTAGTGCACCTCACATCATCTCAGGCAAGCACAGCTGAGTTGAAGTATCTTGTTCTAGAGCAGGCTGTTATATTCCTGCCTCAATCGTAGTGGAAACAGCTCACGTAAATGAGTAAAATAAAAGTTTTGTGCCAAATGTGTGTCACTTAACAGGCCATGTCCCACTAAGTGGTGTGTTGACTACAAATAGCGACTTGAATATTTTTTTCTATTATGCATTTCAGATGTTTACAGAAATATGAAGCTACTTTAGACACGGTACAATTATTGTTAGAACCAGCCATAAATCAGAAAAGCAATTTTCCTCAATGCAAGGTGTAAATACTTTTCAAACCTCAATGTAAGACCAACATTCTTGTGTACACAATTGCTTTGTATGAGATCAGCAGTGGTCTGGCATCATACGCTCGTGGCAAGAAGGACAATGCTTATACTGGCTCTGTCATTTCCCTTGCCATTAGAGCATCCTTTTGTAGATTTTACTCAAAAAAACACAGGCTGCATACTGAACCCAGGTGTTCAGTGTGACCACATGCGCTTTAAGGAGGCTGTGTAACCCACAGAGCCTAGTAGAGCAACGTGTCATAAGCACTACGCTTGTTAACAGTGGAAAAGTTTTTAGGTCATGATAGCTTTTGAAATTATACTTTTTAGATTTGATAGACCTTAAAAAAAATAAGTTAATTTTTGAAAATGATTAGTCATAAGGCATGTTTAGAAAAAAAAGAAAAAGTTAAAAATGTAAACTGGGCTTTCTTCACATCTTCATATGCTGGGCAGAGTGCCCTAGTTGACAGTACAGTTGAGAGATGCAGGGTGTCATGTTGATTTCAGCCTTTGTGGCACCTAGTCTGAAATTCTGTGATTCCAGATAGTAGCTCATTGGAAGGTATTTTATGTGTCTCGGCATCCACAGCACAGGTGTTGCACAATATTCATGGATCTAGGTTGCAGATAATAAACAATTGAGACTTGACTGTAATTAAGAGAGGGAAAAAAAAAGTAAAATTATTCAGAAGATGCAA